ACACAACACCTCTTCTGTTGGCCAATTTTGGCCGTTTCTGGTCAATCGCTAGCTTCAAACGGTCCAGTTGTTGACAGTGGAGATTTGAATTTAGTGTTTGGCCATACGGAAGCAACTCATAATAAATGATTCCTTTCAAGTCCCATCAAATACACAGTAAAACCTCCCTGGCCGTTAGTCCTGGTCTGGCCACCGTTTGAGCTGGTTCACCACACTTTGACCATGATCGTTTTCGCACAATATTGTCGTATGTGACCCATTTCTCATCCCCAGTCACCATCCGTTTAAGAAATGGGTCGATTTCATTCCGTTTGGCCAAGGCTACGCAGATGGAAATTCGATCCATCATGTTTTTTGGTGTTAATTGGTGTGGCACCCAAACATCGAGCTTCTTTTTGTATCCAGCTTTGCGCAAAGGTTTAAAACTGTTTTGTAGTCGATCTTTAGCTCCTGGGCGATGCTACGACTACTAACATGCCGGTCAACTTCGATTATTTCTGTGATTTTATCGACATTTTCGACGACGGGCCCGCCTGTGCGAGGGGCATCTTTAAAATCAAAAATGCCTGAACGGAATCGACGAAACCAAAATTGCACGTGATTAGCTGTTACAGTATCGGTACCATAAACACCATTCACAATTTCAGCGGCCTGGCTTGCATTTTTTGCCTTTATCAAAGAAAAACTATAAAATGTACCGAATTTTCTCTTTGTTGACTTCCATATTTAACACCCTGTAACTCACAACTGAATGGACCAAACAAAAAACTGCAGAAGGATTTTTTTAGTGCGAAATGTCACCTTTCCAACGAGCATAAATCTAAAATTGTTTGATCGATACATTACGAGATATCGATCACTATAGCAACCTATCGAAAAAATAATGGATTTCTTTTTCCCCAACCTAATAATCTTTTATTTCATTGAACAAATCGGCAATTACTTAGTTACCAACCCAATACTTAGTATCAGGGAAAATTCATAAATCTTTTCCCTGATTAAACGAAACGTCTATCACGAGGCGCTACGTCTGATGAATAGTCAGGGCGCGGCAGCTTTTAACGTTTCCATGGGCGTGTATGAGTAAGCGGTCTGGCGATGCAATTGTGACAGGATGGTAGGCCGATGTCGATTAATTCATGTGGCACATGGTTTCCGTCTTTTCGAATCTTCCTCGTCGGATGTAAATACCTGTTTATCGTCGACTGGCTAACGTTCGGTTCTTTGGAGGAATCTATCGCCGGTAAGTATGAATTCCTGGTCGGCAACTCGTTCGAATGATAATTTTGCAGTTCCGGAGGGGAGGTGGCTGGAGGATCGTTTATCGTTCGAATTAACTGATTTTGACATTGAAATACCAGGCTAGACGATGCGACCGGTTTCTTTGTGTTTTTATTTCGCACTTACGGAAATTGTGAAAATGCTTTTATGGAAGTTAACGAATAAATCGATGTTGTAATAACAATCTTGTATGTCAGCGCTTCAACTTTGACCAGTCAAGGTTTGGTCATAGTCTACATACTAAATTACAACACGATCAGAGAGAAATCAAATATTTTGCAGGATTATTTTTTAAAGTGATAATAGCAGATGGATGTATTTTAGTAAAAAGATTGCTTAAAATTGATGGCAGAATTATCGGCAATAATCGGATGTCAAAAATAGGCTTACATCGAAATAATTATCTAGGATCCCAAGGAACCAATTTCAAAAATTTCACGAATCGTTGCGAGACATCAAACTTGCTGAAATTCGCAAGAACTTGTTAACCCATTAACCGCCAAATTACATTTTGGAATTTTTGACGGGAAAAGTTATGAATATGCGCAAAAAGTTGTGTAACAATATCATCATATTCAAATTATGTTTTGACGTTAAAATATTTTATATTTTTTAAAGAGTCCCAAATGGGGGTTGTGGCAGGTTGCATGAATAAGAAAAAGAGAAAAAATTCTTTTTATTGCATGAAAAACAAAGTAGGCAACACATAGATACAATAACCCCTAAATTACATATTTATGTGTGTGTGTATGATATTTAATTATAATATAAAAATCAAACCGAAAATATCATGCTTTAAATATGATAATTTGTTCACAATTTCACAATTTCATAAATATCATAATTTGTTCCAAATTTGTTCACTTGTTGAAAAGGAACGAAATACATAATACACACCGTTTGCTATAAACAATATTGACGTGGCAGTTAATGGGTTAAAATAGTGCATCGATACAACCTAATTTATACTAATGTAGAAATGGCATACTATAAAACAGCAAAGTACAATAATTATTAAGTATTCTATAATAAGTATAATTAAGAGTATTATAATATAATATTATATATATATATTATATTATATTATATTATATTATATAATAATTAAGTATTATATATAAATTTTCACACGCATAAAATGGAAAAGTTATGCGTCATCAACATGTTCTGCATCAGACGAATTGTCTGGATCCCGGAATTAAAACAGCTTCGATTGCTTCAGGATTAATTAGACGAAATCAAGTAATTCGCACGCGTGAATCAATCAGTCGTTACTTCCTCCTACGTATTCCTTTCGATTTCTGTACAATGCGTGCACAAGGCATTCGCGTGTGCGGCTCGACGATTCGCCGGCTTCTCCACCTCGCGTCTCATAAAATTAACCTTCCCAAGTGGGATGTTCTGTGCTCACCGTTGCGCAGACCTGGTCTCGCATTACCTCGTTGCAACCTCATTCGTACCGTGTTTATTTCGATTTTAATTGCCCCCGAAAAGGAACTTTTGATTAGACTCGAAGATCGGCCTTGTCACGAATATGACAAATGTTACCTTACAAAATTTCGTAATAATTAATTTAATCTTCTTCTAGGTCTGTCAATTTCATGCGATTTTCTCTGATTCCGAATAAATGGCGATTTATCTGAGACCAGCTAGATTTTTAATTTATCAAGAAGGCATTCGTAAACTTAATTGTATTGATTGTTACCATCGTGTCAGTCCGAGATTAAGATTAATTAAATAAACTAAATTAAATAAATTCAGATCAGCACAGATTCAATTGGAAAATCGAGAGACGGCTGAAGATTGAAATTTTTGAGTTTGCAGACTCTAAAAAGTCTCAACAATTGTACGTTAAAATTAAGCAAATCGTAAACGATATTATTTATTTAGGAAAACAATTTACGCACGTTAATTTCTTAATCATTTTGTACATAAACCGACTCGTAGGCGAGTCCATTAGACACTACTAAGTTGCCAAGGGTTGAAGAAACTAAGTTGGCGAAGTTAAGGTTGCCTTTCAACTTCCTTGCATTTCGCAAATCTAAGCATATGTTAAATATTTAAACGCAGAAATTCAGTTTTAAAACCGAGCACGCAATCTTATCGGCTTTATTGTACGGACGACAAAGCAGCGGATGTGTTGGGGGATAAATTGCACCGGCAATGGGGCAAAAGGAGCGTCTCGTGGCCGTTTACAGTAATGTCTCCCTAATTCACGCTCAGATTGTGCACAAAAGTGGACAATTTGGGAAGACGAGATACCATTATTCGAGCCTTGCAACTCGTTTTTACAGTTATCAATTGTCAACAATTATAAAAACGAGCTGCAAGGCTTGAATAGTCATATCTTTTCTTCCCAAATTGTTCATTTTTCTGCACAATCTGAGCGTCAATTAGGGATTGTACAATAAATTCTCCTTAATTGACGCTCAAATTGTGTACAAAAATGGACAATTCGGGAAGAGGAGATACGATTATTCGAGCCTTGCAACTCGTTTTTATAGTTACCAATTGTCAACAATTATAAAAACGAGCTACAAGGCTTCAATAGTGATATCTTTTCTTCCCAAATTGTTCATTTTTCTGCACAATCTGAGCGTCAATTAGGGATTGTACAATAAATTCTCCTTAATTGACGCTCAAATTGTGTACAAAAATGGACAATTCGGGAAGAGGAGATACGATTATTCGAGCCTTGCAACTCGTTTTTATAGTTACCAATTGTCAACAATTATAAAAACGAGCTACAAGGCTTCAATAGTGATATCTTTTCTTCCCAAATTGTTCATTTTTCTGCACAATCTGAGCGTCAATTAGGGATTGTACAATAAATTCTCCGTAATTGACGCTCAGATTGTATACAAAAATGGACAGTTCCGGAAGAGGAGATACGATTATTCGAGCCTTGCAACTCGTTTTTACAGTTACCAATCGTCAACAATTATAAAAACGAGCTGCAAGGCTCGGATGATCGTGCCTTTTCTTCCCGAATTGTCCATTTTCCTGCACAATCTGAGCGTCAATTAGGGAGAACTTACTGTATTTCGGAACGACGTGAACGCAACGCGACGAGCCACATATGGTCGATGCCCAGAGATTGAACGTCGTTTCTTGCTACTTGGTTCCAGGGAGGCCAGAACCTGTTCCTCTACGTGACCGTCTCCGATGGCCAGCTCACGACAAAGACCGAGGTCTACGTCACCATTAAAAACACTTCGGGCCCCAATGGAGGACACACCAGGTAGGTTAACTGTCAGGGACAGCATCGGTGAACCGATTGAGATCAGAGCCACGATACCTCCTCGACTTCCTATCCCCTGCAAATTCGCGGACTTCAATCTTCTCTCAACGTTTTTCGCAAGCGCGAACGACCCGCCGCATTCCCCGTACAGTTTCGCGACGAAGAAATGTTGTAGTGGAAAAAGATTCTGGGATTATTAATTATGTCAAATGGTCGTTAAAACTTGCAAGCGCAGTTGGCGATCGTAAAAGTTATAGATTTTATAGATATTTATAGATATTTTATAGATAGTTATAGACTTTTTAAGAGAAATGTTTCAGTAAATGTTTCTCAGTGGATGTGCCGATTAAATGTTGGTGTTTTTCCGCGTATTTGATATACGCGGTTCCCTACGATTTTTTAGGATGATAGGGATAATAAGCTGTGTTTCCCTTTTTTTTTTAACTTGTAATATATTTCAATATTAAACTTAACACCGATTCAGAGTAGATTTTTTAGCGAATAGACTATTTTGTGTTCGGGTTGATGGTAGACTGCCTGTTGCGTGTTCTCGGAAATAAACTCGGCGTGGGTGTGTTCTAAAATTGAGATAGTCGGATTCGTGGATTATTCAATACTTGCGAGAAGTGAGGGAAACGGTCGTCCTGACTGATCGGTTCGCAAAATTATGAAAGTGACCGCCGCAAACTAAGGGTCACTCGCAGCTAGTGCTCGTACCCTCGGGTGACGCACACGAAGAATCCGAGTGTCCCAAGAATTAGCCGTAGCAAACAATAGTCTGGAAAATGACTTTTCTCGGTGGAACATGCATACCATAAAAAAAAGAACGACTGGGAAATTTGGTAACCAACTATGGATCATAAAGGAAATACTTGAGTAGAAGACGGAAACGGCTTTTGATGAAATAGCGTACTACGGGTGATCTCGAATTTCGGTTGTTTCGTCAAAGTGTATAAAAAGCTATTTCTTTGGGCCTTCGGTCCCTGGGAATTAAGACTCCATCATACAACGGAACAGATGGGGCTCTTTGTTCTAAAGTAAAATTGAAATGAAGCACAGCGGGAAATCAGCCGGCCTCTTGGAAGCTATGATCTTTTTATTTTTATATCGATCCTGTGACTGTGTCTCGGTTGTTAATTGAAATAGCATGAAATTAATGATGAATCGATACGGCCGTGACAACTTGACGGAGCAGCGGCCTTTCCGATCCCGGAAAAATATGTGGCTCACGCGGGGGTGGGAATTAATTTCAGTGTCTAATATTTTACGGAACGGGACTTCTGTTTAACCTTTTAGACACGACGCGCCACTATAGTGGCTTTCGCGGATGTCATCTCTCTGGACGACGCGCCACTATAGTGGCTTGCTCTAGTAGCTCACTCGCTCATCGTTTGAACCAAATAATCGTCTTCATATGCATTGTTTCACACTTCTTTTGTCTTCACATCGATTTACAACAGTCTGCAGGGTGTCCCAAAAATGTCTCGCAATCCGGAAATGGTGGGTTCCTCGGATCATTTGAAGCAACTTCTTCCTTTACAAAAATTTTCTCCGAGGCACCGTTAACGAGTTATTAATGAAAAACAGTGACCAATAAGAATCGAGTACGGCTGACGCGAGGCGGCCCAGCCAACCAGCGCGCGAAGCCCAGTTCTGCTCATTGGCTCGATCGCCTCGCGCCAGCCGAGCTCGCCTCTCATTGGTCACCGTTTTTCGTTAATAAGTCGTTAACAGTGCCTCGGAGAAAATTTTTGTAAATGAAAAAATTGCTTCAAATGGCCTGAGGAACCCGCCACTTTCAGATTGCGAGACATTTTTGGGACATCCTGTATATACAGACAGAATATACAGTATCAGACTCTGTACAGTACCTGTCTCTTATACACATCTAGATGTGTATAAGAGACAGGTACATATCAGACTCTGCCGACTAGAGAAATAGCCTCGCGCAGAATTCAGCCGTACCTAAAAGGTTAAGAATGTGGTGAAGCGTAGCGAAATGAACGTCTTCCTAACCACGATTAGATTATGCGCTACAGGTAGCGGATTTGATGCGTCTATAGCGAACAATAAATAATAGACGAAACACGAAATAAGAGAAAGCATTCGAAGAAATTTTAAATACGGTTACATTATTTCCGAACTGATAAAATTGCAAAAGATGAAAATTTTCATTTCGCACAGAGACTGTGCGAAAGTTTCTCCATTAACCTAGTAACGCTAACAATAATTTTTATGTGTAAAATCATAAATTAACTTAATTAACTTAAAGCTACCGAGGTCTAAAAGCGGCTAACGAGAATTGTCTGTCGTAAGAATTACAGGATAGAATTTATTCAACATTTTCACAATTTTTATATTCGATTCAGTTTTTAATGGATGCGGCTTTACGACTTCAATAATTATGAAATAAAAAAATGTGGAACCGGTCATTTGACCGGCGGTGGGAAGTTTAGTGTTTTATAGTAGATTTACGGGACCCGTCAAAATGAAGGGTCACTAATTTTTTAATTATTCATATCGTAAAGATACATTTATGAGTTATTCATTCAATTTATATGTTACTTACGGCAAATGTTATAAAATAACACTTGTTCAAAATCAGAATAAATATCTTATTGTTACTTTTATAAACTAATATGAAACAGCTGGTTTTTCTGAATCTATTCCGTAAATCTAGCATTAATGAGATAGATATTCTCTTCTTCTCTTTGTGCCAATTTCTTAATTGGCGATTTATTAACAACTTATTAGACGATAACGCATTAGCAATATCTGACCATCAGAGGTTGTTCGTTCAATTACAGTATCTGTAATAACGGATGTTGCGTTACTATTGTAGAGAATAGATCTGTACCAATTTTGGAACAGATGTGAATTAGGTCCGAACTACATTTTGGCTAATTGTAAGTCCGATTATGGCTCGGAATCTGATTACGTTCCATTGAATTATCATTTACGGAATATCGGGATGCAGTACCAGATCTCATGCTGAACATCAAAATGCATATCAAGCTACGTATGTTCACGTTGAAGCCACACGAAACACCAACTCGAAGATCGTTTGCGAAGCAACATAGTTTGAAGAAAACTTCGTTAATGATGACTCGAATTCCGGGCATCGCGATCAAGTCGACGTCGTCGGACTGAAGGCAGCTTATAAATGCATTAGAGTATGATGGCTAAATTGCAAATCTTTATGCAAAATTGGAATGTCTTGGGTTAATTTCAAGAAGCAGCGATCATATGGAAGATAACTTCTTGTCTTAAGAAGTTTATGCATTTAAAAATACAGTAAATTCTTCCTAATCGACGCTCAGATTGAGGACAAAAATGGACAATTTGAGGAGAGGAGATACGATTATCCGAGCCTTGCGGCTCGAAATATATATTTTGTCCCAAAATTATGGCACTTCCAGGAAATGAAGGATACCTGAGGACATTTGAAGATAAGTTTTTCCTTAGCGAAAATGCAATCCGCGGCTTCGTTAGCGAGTTATTAACGAAAAACACTGGCCAATGAGAGGCGAGGGCGTGAATTACAATGTGGTCCATCGTTCGAGCACAACGTGCTCCGACCGCGGAGTTTGACAGAAGAAGGAAGGCTCCGTGCCGTGTTCGAATCCATGAACAAGTCATGGAGCACGAACTTTCGATTTTTTTTCTACCACGTGACAGTGATAATTTAAAAAAAAGCGCTGTTTATCCTTATTTCAGAATGTCTGAAGAATATTTACTAATTTTTCGGACCCGAAATACTATATATATGTTCCAAAATTATGGCATTTCCGAGAAAAGAGGGGTTCCTGAGGTCATTTGAAGTAACTTTCTCCTTAGCGAAAATGCAAACCGCGGCTTTCTTTACGAGTTATTAACGAAAAACACTGACCAATCGGAGAGCGAGCACGACCGGAGCGAGGCGGCCCCAGTCAACGAGCGCGCGAAGCCCAATTCTGCCGATTGGCTCGCGCCACCTCGTGCCAGTCGAGTGCTCGCCTCTCATTGGTCACTGTTTTCCGTTAATAACTCACAAACGAAACCGCAGATTGCATTTTCGCTAAGGAAAAAGTTACTTCAAATGACCTCAGGAATCCTTCACTTCCCGGAAGTACCATAATTTTAGGACGCCCAGTATATTTTGTCCCAGCAACTTTGCGAGCGTAGGTCCCTATCTGTTCCTTGATTAAATTTAAGTAGACAGCACTGTTCATACGGCCTTGAATAAATTTTATTTCCGTCTTTCCTCTATAGCCAATACCCCTGGCCCTTATCATTGTTGTACCATCATCACATTGTCGGCGATTAAGTTCTGCAATAGAGCATATGCAACAGAAAAAGCAATGGGAGCGTATTATATTCACGGATGAAGAAAAACTTAACCTGGATGGTCCAGATGGATGTAAATACTATTTCCACGATTTAGGAAAGGAACAAAGTGCGTTAAGTTGTCGACAATGCGATGGAGGTACAGTATAGATACGGACAGGTATCGGAAGGAAGACTGAAATAAGGAAATAGAGGAAACAGAGGAAAGACGGAAATAAAATTTATTCAAGGCCCTATGAATGCTGCAATCTATTTAAATTTAATTAAGGAACAGATAGAGACATACGTTCGCAGAATCGCTGGGACAAAATGTATATTTCAGCAAGATAATGTGCAGCTGTGTATACTGCTCTCACATTAAAAAGTTATTTTGAAACGGAAAACGTAAAGGTTTTAAATCGGTCAGCAAGGTCTCCTGACCTAAGCATTATCGAGAATGTTTGGGGAAATCTCAGTCGAACATTATGCGAAGGTGGAAAGCATTATAACACAGTGCCCGAATTAAAACCTCCAATTTTAGAAGCTTGGGAAAGCTTGGGCCGGTAGTATATAAAGGATCTGTATAGATGTTTACCAAGAAAAATGATTGAAGTGGTGCAACGTAAAGGACGGCCCATACATTACTAAAACTTAAACGAACTATTACTATGCAATTTGATTGCATTTTAATGCTTTTGTTATTTCATATTCAAAGTGCCTTATTATTTAGTCCACACGAAATTTTATGTTTTTTTTTGTACAAATAACAAATAGGTCGAACGATTGTTTTAATTTCTTTGTATATTACGTCAAAACTAGTATCTCATTTTGTTGTGAATTCATTTTCCACGTATGCCTTATCATTCGGCCCACACAAAATTTCACGTCTTTTTGTAGAAATAACAAATGGATCGAACGATTTATTTAATTTCCACATATATTATGGCAAAGCTAGTACCTTGTTTTATCACGGTGCCTTATCATCTTGTCCAGCAGCGTAGCTGCGACGAGTCATGGCAACGCGAACGATTCAGGTCGACGCGGTCAGGCCCTGTTGCTGCGCACCTGCTTTTTTTAACGAGCACGCATTATACGGTGCACGTTCAACTCCCCACTTGTCACCAAGTTGCAGTAAAATCTAGCAAATACAGTCCACCGAGCGCTGAAACAACTCGTCATTTATTCAATCCGCTCGCACAAAGTTAATTCGGCGTGTGAGTTGTGCCTACGTTACCGTTCATTCGCGAGAGATGTTGAGCACCGCGTGCATAAAACAGGCCCCGGCGTCCTTTTGGTAACCGAAGTTCGACGCTCCTTGGAAAGTCGGTCGCAAATTGTATGAAAGATGAAACCTTTATGAGGGTCACGCCGGAGAGGATGATGGAACGGGCTGAATCCGTGTGATGCACGTGTCAGGCACGGTTGAAGGCCTTCCCCCATTGAGGAGTACCTTCGCGCACAGTCAAAAGGGCGGCTAAAGAAAAGCGTCGAGTTGTACGGAAGAGCCAATTTAGCTCGCAAGACACACCTATAGAAATCGTAGGTGCTAACATGTTCCGTTGTGTAGCGACGGAGCCCGCATTGAATGGGATCGTGTTTCTCTAAGGGCGAGAGCATCGATTCCGCGGTTTTAAATGCAACCTGGCCCAACCACCTGTGTGAAAAGAATCGCTGACGATATTTTTTATTAAGGAATTCAACGGATCCCCGCGGACGCATCGGTGGTTCGCGTTTTTATTTTTTACCTTCCTATGGGAGAGGACGGACTGGGTCGATGGCAATCGCTGGAGATTCTTTCACGAATCGGTCTTTGAATTTCCACTGAGCAGCTCGCGCATCTCGTAGTCCTTTTACGGATAGTATTCCGATCCGATTGTGGCAGATAAGTTTGAAATCGAAAATACTAAATAAATATTGAAAATGAAAAATAAAAGAATAAATAAAATATAAAAATAAAAATAATACTAAATACTAAATTATAAATAATAATATATATAATAATAATATATATTATTATATATTAATAAATATATAATAATAATATATATTATTATATATTAATAAATATATAATAATAATATATATTATTATATATTAATAAATATATAATAATAATATATATTATTATATATTAATAAATATATAATAATAATATATATATAATAATATATATTATAATAATACTAAATACTAAATACTGCTAATCCCTTTTTCCTGTTTTCTGACAATTTATCTGGAACGTCAAATCTAGGCAGGATTTGGGAAATGAAGATTTCGATGATATTTCAATGATCGCTTTGATGATATTTAGATTTTGTTACTTCTTAATCTAGAATTTATGATGTCTCATGTCAGATGCTAACTCGTGTTATCCACATTTGTCCCACTTTTACATTCAGTATACAGTTACATACGAAATTTCAAAAAATGGCCTCATTTGTTCGAATAATAAAAGAACACAATTTTCTCACAAAATCTAACAAGTAAATAAAATAACCTAACAAATAAATTCGAACGATACGTTTAAGAATTTTACGAACAAAAATTAGTAAATGAAATATCTCTCCGTGAAAAAATGTAACGTACAAGAGAAGAATCGATTAACCGCTTTTTAATTCTCATTTTACGACGGCGAAACGTTTAATTTGTAGACATTAATTGCTACAACGCAAATTCGCGACATGTACGCTCGACTTTGCGTCACCGAAATATGTACTAAAAGTCTTTATTTTTGTTAATAAATCGCTTTACGATGCGTATAGAAAAATGTTATTTGCGAAAATAAATTCGTTCTTTGTGAATCGTTCGAATGAGATTCTCGCAGCTCATGCACAGCTGGTAACTGCATCGAGATATCAATTCTATCACAATGCCTTGAATTTAATTCTATGTTCTTTCATCGACAGGAATCCTTTCCCAGGGCAACACGGGCCCTCGGGCCGAATAAGACCGCCTCTTCTGGGCCTGCCAAGCCTGCAGAACTATCCGAGACCAGGATTACCTCATAAACCAGCGTTACCATCGCCACCGGTGTCTATACCGGTCTCCATACCAAAAACAACCAGGTTGCAGCCGGAGGAGGCGAAGGAGCCCGAGGGGAAGATAGATGACAATGCTGCCGGTCCTCACGTACGATCTATGGAGGAGAACGAGGTCGAGGGCCCACCATTGAGCTCGAAAATAACACCTGCCGAGGCACCACCCTCTCAAGACATTTCGATGACTTTGGTGCCAGTCACAGCTGTCTGCGTACTCGTGGTAGGCCTTGGCATGGGTGCCTGGTCTCTGCGAAATAAATTCTGCAGCACTAAGAAATCCAAAAAAGACACGGTGCGTGGACACGTCAAATTATTAGGTTGGCGCGTATGAAATATCGGATTTTTAAGTGAATATATTTAACCCTTAGCACTCCGAACCATTCTGGACGTTGGCTACCAGTTACTCAGCGCCGCTTTTCGGCAGAAACGGGCATTTGCAGACCCTCGTATTATTTAGTATGGTTTTGGAACTAACTAACATATTATAATGATATTGGACTTATATGAATTTGGCTGAAATCGAGAAATTTGCAAAAAAATCAATATTTTATTTTCTATAATTTTGTTATTGTTTGTTTTGTAATTTTGTTTTGTTGTTGTAATCGCTATATATGCGAACTCTTCCTCTCGTCGCCTTGTTGCTTGGACGATATCACTATCACTGCTATCAAAACGATAGACTAACTGTAGAAGAAAATCTTCTACAGTTAGTCTTTCTAACATATCTGTATAAACGTCTATCTGGAGCTCATCTTCGCTACTACTTGTGTCATGAGACTCGTTCGTGTTTGAACGTTTTGCCATTGTTCTAATAAAAAGTATGAATAAATACATAGGTTGAAAATTCCTAATTGTTATTACTAACTCACAAGATGATATT